TCTCTCTCTCTCTCTCTCTCTCTCTCTCTCTCTCTCTCTCTCTCCCCTGTCTTTTCCTCTCTTTCTCGTGGCAAGAATTTGTTTTACTATCATATAGTATACTTATTCTCTTAGGTTGCATCGTTGAGTGCGGATCTTAATGTGATGGACGATTCAAGAATTCGATGGCGGAAGTTGAGTGGTTATTACGCAATGATAAGCGTAAATGCTGAGTCTGTGTTACATAATTCGAATTTGATAGTTCGATTTATTCCCAACTTACTAATAGACATTGATTTATTAGATTTCGAGACTTGATCTCAATGTAAAATCATAAATTCACAAATATATTTCTACTAAACAAACCATTTTATTATACATATAAACCACAAATCGCTTTTCTTCTAATAAAAAAAATTGCATTTTATTTGTATACTTTACGCGGCCAATAATTCTCTATATTGATTTACTATAATCGTTATAATTTCTCAGTAATTAATCTAACGGAAACAGAATAGAATACGTAGGAGTATAGTATTGTCAACATTAATCGATTAATATTTAAGCTCTTAGAACATTTATTCTCTCTCTCTCTCTCTCTCTTTCTTACAAATCTAAAAAGAAATACTTATTACTTGTGGGCATGAACGGCAGATGAAAGAACTGGTGCTCCAATGGTAGAGAAAGAGAGACACGCAACAGAAGGAGGAAGCGGCAGCAGAAGGTAGATCGGGGGAAGGAGCATGTGGGGAAAAAAGGTGAAAAGGGGCGGGTGAGAGGGAGAGAAAGCCGGTAGGTCGACGGTGGAGTGTTGGTACCATTAGCGCGGATGCCTGTTCGTATGCGGTCAGGGTCCTTTTATCCCGCGCGGAGATTCCTGCGGGATTCCTGCGTTCGTTATCATCGCGTGCAGCATTCGCTGAACGCTGCAACGCAACGGTGGAAGGCCAGAGATGCAGGAAGAAAGAACGCGATGAGAAAAAGGAGAAAGGGAGAGGGAGGGAGGAAAAAGGGAAGGAGAAAAGAGGAGGATGAGGAGAGCCGAACCAGTCCTCCTCGGGGCATGAGCCTCCCACGACATTCACTCGGCACAGGAATTATGAAGTCGTCCAGTTGGGGAACCAGTTGGCTATATTTCGCGGGAATACGTCGACGGCGGCGCGCATCGTGTAATGGGAAAATATTGAATAGTCCTGCGACACGGCGCGGCGCGTCGACCGTGAGGCCGAGGTTCGAGGGATTATTGCTCGTACATTTCGTCCGCGGACATCCGCTATCGCGGTTCTAGCGCTCGAATGGAGACCTCTATGCGAGAACTTTATATTTTGTCTTTATAGAACCAGTTTATCACCAGTTTATCTCTTTTGAACACGTATCGCGACAGGAAATTAATAGATTGTTGAATTCAAGGACTATATTAATTGTTATTTTATTTATAGCAAGCAAATAGTAAAATAGTTGTATTGTGATTTCTACTTGCTTAAACGTTCTATGCAAAATAAATTGTTTAATGGATTATTGATACTAATTATGCTACACGATAAATCGATGCAATTACTTGTTTAAAATTAATGAAAGGATTTTTATAATTTTTTTAGGAGAGGGACAGTTGGGGTTTAAAAGTAATGTAACCGAAGATCTTAATTTCGTCATTTATTTAATTTTCTTATATATTTATTTGTATAAATTACGAGCAATAATTAATACATCTATTATGCACAACATTGGAATTACCTTATTTATTGGAATTTTCTCATTTCGAAGAGTAATCTCTTTATCCAGCATTTGTAAAAAAAGATATTTTTAAACCCGCGGGATTTTCAATATCCCGGTACTCGATAAAGAAAAAAGAGAAAACGAGAGAGGGATACATGAAAAAGATATAAAAATAATTTACCACTCCCAACGTGGGGCTTTGTCTTCGTCGCGCGTGTGAAAGCCTGCTTTGTATTTACAATAGTTTCTTACGGAGAAATATATATTGGCCACCGATTGGCTCGCACATTGTTGCAAAATACATCGCTATAATTTATTTATATACAAGTATGCGATCTGTATACGAGTTTTTCCCCGAGGGAGCGAGTGTCTAAAGTGGCAAAAAGGACACCATTAAAATAAATAACGCTTACGCGAGACCACGACGCTCGCGTTGTCGCCAATGAACATCACTTAAATCGAAGTCCTCATATGCAGCAGGATAAAATAATTGAAGGCTTTATACATCGGATTAACTTATCGTGATCAATAGTCCTTTACGGCGGAGAAGCGAGTTCGCTAATCCATTTTGATTAATGTCACGTAGAGATGGTAGTGAATTGAATTCGAATATTACCCAACGGGGATAATATTTTTTGTCGAACAGGGTAACAGGATGAGAGATGCGGATAGCAGGCAGCCTTAAATTATTTTCTTCTACCATATGACATTGTCACAGCTGAGATGTCAGAGCCTTTATTATGGGGGGAGGGGTGCAGATCAAGTTCCGATCCTCGTCGGTGAATAGCGAGATAGCGAGCCGGTGTTACGCTGGTGTTTAACACCGGTTATTTAACACCGCATCCACGCGTCCCAATCTTCCTATCTTAAAGCCTTAAAAACCTACGATCGCACGAACGCTCCTCACCATCTCAGTCTTTAATACGCGCGCGACGCGACGTAATAAATATATATGTAGTTCCGTTCGTTTCGCGTAATACTGGAGACGAGGAGGTCCCGCGGGGTTCACGCGCGGGACTCTCCACGACGACTTGGACCCCGTCCGGCAAGACCCATCGGCAGAATCTCTCGCGGAAACGGAGACCGGCGTGTCGGTCGTCCGCGAAAGAGACTGTCACAGGGTGCTTTGAGCTAAAAAGAAGAGTAGTCTCATCCTTCGAATTTGTCAATATACCGTTTATACCCAGGGTTACCCGCGAAAAACAGAGAAAGTTCGAAACTTTGATCGTTTTTAACCCTGCATGAAGGTTGCCTCGAAGATTTATCAAGATTCCGTGATATCTCGCGATCAAGTCCCCCTCTTCACAGACATGTGTGTATCGTCTTTTTCGTCCTGCACAGCTGGCACTTGACCTCGCAGCACCAGTGGAAGGTGCAGGAGCACCTTTCAATCACCGTCACCTCCTGCGTCTTGTGGCCCCTGCCGCAGCACATCAGGTCGCAGCCGTCGACGCCGATGCTCGTGTCGTTGCACTGCCGCCCGTGGGTGCCCAGGATGCCGAGTTTTGGATTCTTCTCGCAGAACGGCGGCGATGGCTCCACGTAGACGAGGTCCTTCTGTCCGGGCGGCTTGTGCTCCGGATTGTACGGCTTCAACTGGAAGTTGTAGCGATGCCGGCGCCCGAGACCGTCGCGATGTTGGTGCACGGAGTTGCTCGCCGAGTTGCTGGTGATGGCATTGTTGTTGACGCGCGCGCGGTCCGAATTACTGACCATCACCCGTGAGGCCCCATCGAAGCGATCCTTCAGGTTGTCGCCGACCACGCGAAAGTTCGGCAGCCGCATCCAGCAGGTCTTCACCGTGCACGAGCCCGACATGCCGTGGCACTTGCATTCCTGACGCATCTCCGAAGTTACGTGCTGTAACGAGAGAGGCGAAGTCCTGTAATTTTTCTCATAATTAAAATTAATAATATTCGTGACACTTTCAGTTTCCCCGCATAAACGTTTTATCGCGGATTTCGTTCAGCAAATTTACAAATATGCGGGCAAATAAAATAACAAAATGTATAATGTTTTAAATAAATCTCAAACATTAAGATTTCATATATTCTATTTATTATTTGAATTTAGGGCACAATAAATAAAATATTATTTAGTAGAGTAATTTTAACGCTTCTATTTTTTTCTTTTATTTTTTTCAGATAAAATAATTTTAGAAATTAAAAAAGCTTACTGCTCTGCCGGCTTCGTTATTATGTAGATTCATCTTCTCGCGGAGATTCCGGCCACGTTCGCCAGTATCGACAAAATCGCGAGAGAACTTGAAGCCATATCCAATGTTATCCGAGCAACCACCCCATTCCCAATCTCGAACGGCGGATGATGCGCGTGATTGGTGAGTATAGTCGCAGGAACACGATTGAATGCTGCCCTCGCTACATGCCCTCGCGATACTGTGTGTCACCGCCGCGCTCGTGATGGCGTAGATGAAAGCGGTCTCTCGACATCCTGCAAGAAAATGACGGAAAATTTACGTGTGCCGTGCCGGAAACTAAATTCCTTGTTCAGCGCACGGGAAATGCAAAAAAAAAAACGCAGTTAAAATCAACCATTACATATGCATATATTACTGCTTTTATCGTAAATATTGTGTATCATTAAAGTCCTTCGGTTTTTAATTTTATTTATCCAGTTGCACAATATTCTTGAATATTTCCGGTAAAAATTAATTCTTGGCAATTATAATTAATTTTCCATTAGAAATGTGATAGATTCTTGACAAAATGCTAATTTTTTTCTTTATAGATATCAATATTTTGATACTCGCCGGGAGTGCTGACAAAACTTTCACGGTGTTTGGTCGCGTAGGAGGTGAATGATGACGTCAGGCAACGTCTCAATCCTCCACGAGGGACTACCTGCGCGAGAAGTCCTCGCAGGTGGAAGCGAGGGAGAACAGGAGTGTCCGTAAGAGAGAACGACAAGAAGAACGACAGAAGAAGAGAGGGAGAAAGAGAGAGCGAGAGAGGCAAGAGACGGTACGTGACCTTAACCCTGAGTGGGCTGACCTGAAGCACCTCGACCTTATCTGCATAAGGTGCAGGTGCGCGTCGGCTCCTTTTGTACCGATGAAGATATCGCGCGAGAGAAGAGCGGGCAAAACAATTTCATAAATTGCGAGCTCGCACCATTCCAAGACAGTGTTACATTGTCCCATTAGTGAAAAAATATTACATGGTGCTCTATATTTTTTAATTAAATCTCATTTAATTAATTTTCCTTACTTTTATTTATCTTTTTATTTAATTATAATATAATAGCGCATTTAAAGAAAAAGAGAGGGGGGGTAGTACATATAGTATATTACTATACATATATATATGTATTGTGTATTCCTTAATAATAATATAATAATATAATGTATACCTTTTATTTAGTAGGTAAGTTTTCATACGCGATATTTTTTAAAATAATAACTATATATAATATATCTGAAGCGAATTAATGAATGTTGTATATAAAAGAGATAAACTTATGGATTAAAATAAGTTTGTACTATATTTTCTAGTTATTCTGTTTTCTAAATTATGAATTTTCGGAGTGATCAACTAAAAATTGATGGGAAACTTTCCTAGGTCGATTAAATGCGCGTGCGTATCGAAATGATAGAATCCGAAAAATTGAACAAGAATAAGACGTTAAGCGATTCAACCACGGACGAGCAGAATGGTACGGATGATTATCCGCAACGAACCGTCCTCGGCTCGAAATTCTAAATTCGTTACGAGTCTTTTACGTTACGACACAGTGACATCTCCAGCTCCCTTTTTGACAGTAGCGAGCGTTGAGAACAGATAAAACGAGGTCGAACGAAATCAGAGAAGAAAGCGAAGAAAGAAAGAAAAATGAGCGCGCAACAATTTTCCTCAATCTTGACGCAGAATTGCCATTGACGGTAGTGAGAAAACAGGAATGTTGAAGAAAAGATTCATGCCGTTACACGACCCATTGTCACGGGTGAATCCTCGTCCCGTTTCCCCTCTCATCCCTAAATTCGATCAGTTCCAGATATTATTTATCATAATGTCAGACCCCATGACCGAATGGATTACACCGTTCGTAATCGCCTTGCCTTCTAGACGAGGAGACATTCTGGATTCCTGAAGAACTAACAGCGACAGGATGAAAGTGTCACAAATTCGTTTAACAAGAAAAGGCATGAAGCCAAGAGGGTCACTCGTCAACTTGTTAAGTAGACAGGAAAAGATATTGCTACGTGTTGCAACATAGCGATTGCTAATTATTTAGCACGGCTTGAACAAAACAGTATTCAATTTTAGGAATTTCTCATTGTCACAAAATCGCACGATATTTATTTTCTTTGCAGTTTTCGAAATGTTTTCCTTCCTTTAAAAAAAAAAAAAAAAAAAATAAATTCTCAATATTTATTTGCAATTTAAGTGTATATCTATCTATCTTAGAAGGGAAAAAAGGAAGAAGAAGAAAAGAAGAGAAGGAAAAGATTTATCGCAAGATTAAGATAGATTTATTACAAATTTCTTTTTTTTCTTTTTTCCTTGACTTTAAATCTACGAACCGTGCCGGTATATTCACGTAACTGCATAACGCACGTTGAATCATGTCTTTCACGTGTTAAGAACGCGACTAATTGTTTGCGGCCGAACGCCCTCGATGAACTCATTGCCTCGTCGTGGATTTCGTAATACGTGGAAACCAATCCGTTCAATTTTTCTTGGTTTTTACGAGTTTTATGATTTGCAAACAATCGGGGACTGCCAGATAAGCGAGTGGCGGTCTTGTTTCTCGAAGGCACGGAAATATCGCCGTTATCGACCACGCGCGCGCGAGGTCGTGGAGGAACAAAACGAGGGAGAGGAAGGAAAATGTGTGCAAAGTGAGAGAAAGAATGCGACGCGATGAGAGATCTGGTGCGGGGAAAGTTCAAATGAAGAAAAACAAAAAGCGCGACTCTCGATAATCTCTCGGTACCGCGATTGTTTGCCCTCGACGAGAAGTGAACACGCCGTTCTCGTTTGTTCCGCGTACGATAAATAGTTCGACGGCGGTTTTATCGACTCGTTCAAATAGTATGAGCAAGTTAGAGGCGCAGCCAGAATGTGCCCGCAAGGTAAACACGCGCGCACACATCGATGGCAGTTCCTTGCTCGTGCTCGGTCCGGAACCTGACGACCTGGCAGCGTTAGGGACGGTGGACAGAATCGGAATGTTTCGGTCTCAAAAGCGTTTAACGTATTAGTCTTGAAATCTTTGTGGAAAATAAAGCAGATGGAACAAGTTTTTTCTGCAGCTAGATATACGCGTATACATTATCATATTTTCAATTGTGATTAATTTTTTTGTTAATGTAAAAAAGTTTTTTATTAACAAAAAAGAATTAATTCATCAAAGTGTCTTATATTAAATTTTTTTTAGATTATTTTAAATTTTAAAATCACGAATGCAAATGGTATAAAAACGATAAAATGCTATTGATGATCTATTATTGAATTATTGCGAAAAATTGTTACTGCAAAATTGTGATGTATATGCATCGGTATTTGTGTAAAAAGTATTCCAGATTTGTACTTTTGAATTTATATAAATGATAGTATATGAGTTTCATTATGAAACGCTGATTTATGAAGTTCGTCAGACGAACGGTTGGCCTCTCAATGAAATATACGGAGCAAAAAGCCGCAATCACCACGACCGAGTCGTTTTTGAGATTGTCCTAAGCGGCATCGTCGCGCATCTTTACGAGGGACATTTGCGTCTTGGCTGAAATTCCACGGAGATAAAATCGTTAGGAATTATTGCTACTGTCGCGGCCCGAGTACCTGTCAGGGGACAGAACGAGTTATGGTGTAACCACCTACGCGTGGAATCTAAAACGACGTTACTGGCGATGGTGGTCTCCCAACGACAGCGACGGTATCGGCGACGTGATGATTTATGTATAGATGTGTCGTAATACAGTCATTAGACATGAGATGATGGGCCCGTGATGTCAAGTGATAGGCTGGGCGTAAAACCGCTTACAATGATTCATTACGAACGTTTTAAAGAAACGGAAAGATGGATTTATTACTTGCGCTGAGACAGAGATTGCCATTTCAGCAACTCGAGATGTCAATGTGAAGAGAAAAATGCCGGTTTAAAAGATTGGCTATAAAAACTTTCATTCTTAATAGACATACAGAAAATTAAGTTGTTTATTCAAGAACGTCATCACGGTTTATATAAACGAGGATAATATCAGCAATTATATTACTTATACATATTATTTTTAAATAAGTCTTAGTAATTTAATGTCTTTCGATGTATGTGTATCTTGAAAATATTACAAAATTTATATCGCGCGTTTAAAAAATATATTTTTTTCTTTATTTTATTTTATCTTCAACATATTCACAAATGATGTTCCTCGATATGCGGTGACGAGCGTATAGGAATGATCGCGGCGACAACTCGGCAAGGCTCGAAAATAAGAAGGACGAAGGGAAGCCAAGAACGGGCAGAACAGTCCTGTGGAACTCGAAGACCGCGGAATAACACGGGTGAGCGCCATATAGACCCGCGGGAACGGGTGCGGGAGCGGGAGCGGGAGCGGGAGCGGGCTTGCGGGGCCCCCGTGGAAGCAAACAAGATGTAAAAATCACGCAGGGGCCCATTGGGTCGCGGCTCACGTTTTCGCAAGAAACCGTGGCGTGCCGTCGACACATGTAGCCCATCATAGGCCGCGATTTATGGCCGTGGCAAAAAGCGCCTGATGTCGCCGTATAAGACGCGTCCTGCCGCTGCTGCACGCACTGGGACAGATATTGATTGAATTTATCCTGTAAACGGCCGATTACGTCGATATCACCGGCGCACGGCGAAAATATTCGCGACCTCGCGTCGCCTGGGTTCACGACGAAGATAAGATTACAAACGTGCGTCACGTGTTGACTAAAGATCGAAAATACCTGCATGATTGAGTTTGTGCGAATTCATTAATCAGAGTTGTCAAAAAAGAAAGAACGGCTTTTAACTCCGTTGTGTAACACGCGTCTTTCCGGAATAAGGTAATCCAGTTGGTAAAAATGAGATTTGTTACGGATTTCCGCTCTGCATCCGTGCAAGTTCTCTTTGTGGCTCTTCCTTTTCTTCGTGCCTTACAATTTGCCTTCTGTTGAAACTCGTGCTATAATAGAATCATGAAGGCGAAATGCAAACCGTTGAAGAGCTGCAACGTCATTTTGTGGGATAAGGTGTGCAGGCCCGTAACTAATCGCGAACTTCTTTCGCTGATTGGTTGCCTCATTGATAGAGCATAGCCGGGGAAGAAAGATGATTATTTGCATATTATGTGTGTTGATCAAGATTGAGACCATTCTTATATTCGTCATTCCGCTGGTTACATGTCGAATTTTATCATCTGCATTTTTTAAATCCTTATTCTTCACTTTTATTTTTATTCTCTGTGAGCTTTGAATTAAAATTAACTCTCATACGCGGACGAATCACTGAGACGGCGGCGCGGTAGTTGTTCCTTTTTTTTTGCGACTCGAATGATCTCGGTTATGATCGTCAAAAATAATCTGGGAGAGGAAAAGACACAGTGTTATATGCGCCCAATGCGGCGGAGTCTTCGCAGTTTACGGAGCAATTAGGCTGCGAGGCTTGCTTTTGCGAGCCACACGGTGTGCGCCGAGGAGAAGGAAGACGCGGAGGCACACGGAGAGAAAGCCGCGAGAGAAAGGAACGGAAGAGGAGCCGGACGAAGAAACGAGATGGAGAACGGTGGAAGGTAAGGGTACCAATGCGGTAGGTGGCTCTTGGCGGCGAAATGATTACAGGCCGCGAACGCACTCACTACCAGCTATAATATCGAGTACAAACGCAGCCAAAAGTATTGGAGCCCGAGTCTCCGAAAATCTCTTCGCAGGATCCCCGGCTCGATACTAATTCCACTCACCCTTTCACATATCCGCAATGATCACGTATTATTTAAATTCAAATCTCGTATGTCCGGCGCTCTCTCTCTCTCGCTCGTGTTAGCTGTCGACAAAAGTTTCGGATCGTATACATATTAATCGACGTGTCGCGATTTTTATCGAATCGCTAATTGTGCGTTTTCACACACTGACACGTGAATATATTAAGACCGTCTTACTCGCGTGTTATTAGAAATTTCCGCGTGGATTGACAACTTGTTCTTGTACTTAATAATACATTCGCGCGAGAGAAAATTAATGTTCATATGGAGCAGGTTATATCCTTTAACTTAGTACTTGTGTTTCTCAATTAGCGGCTCAAAATGTAGATGAATTTTTTTCCCCGGTAACACTAAAAGTAAAACGTGGATCTCTACATGACTTTCCGTTTCTTAACGACAATAAATATGTAATATATTCGCAACGACACGTCACGAGCAGCACACCCGGTGATATTAACGTGAGACCAATGCGACGCAGCAATAGATTCGCGTTATCCCGCTTGAAAATCTATATCCATTCTACTTTCACGACTTATATTTCCGACATGACTGCCGACAGTTAGAACACGGTGATAATCCGGAAACGACCGTTTAAGCCGGTGTTCGACTGCGACGTTCTTTCCGGACCCCCTCTTTTTGATCTCCTTATCCTTGAATGCGACAAGTACGCGAACGCATTACCGGTAGTTGATAGCGATCTGTGTGTTTCCCTTATGCCAGCACGGCGAAGATCAAATCTCGAGAGGATCGAGGACAAAGAAAGATACGAGAAGCGGGAGCGGCAGCGAGAAGAGCGGAGGAAACTGGTCCGCGCTCACACAGGGCGATGAAGACGAAAGGTGAAAGGTCGAGGGCCTCGTCTCCGGTAGAAGCTGCGAGCGATCTTGCAGATTGTTACGGAAAACAGAGAAAGACAAAGTACAAACCGAAGTCTATCGCGACAATTTTAGCAATCTATTACGGAACAGTTATTAAGTTGTTACTCGCGTTTACGTGCAAAAATAAAATCAATTAATTAACATGCGCTTAAACATGAATCTACGTAAATATATTTTATATAGAATGTAAAGAAATAAGAAAACGTTGCTTCCTGATTAATTCTCCTTTTTCTTGCACGAATTTGCGATCAAATTCCGTTTATTCGCGTAAATATTCTTATTAGACTCTTAGTAGACTATTATTTTGCGCGATAGATTGGAGAATGTAATTATGACAGGCTATTCGCGGCTATCAAATTAATACCTCTCACAATGGTTATTTAATCCTGACAGGAATAACATTACGATCGGTCTTTAAACCGCGCGACGCGCTTTTGTATCTCACGATTCACACGTAATCATTTTTTACCTGGTTCTGACAGAACAATGTATCATAGAAGTGCGAAACGAATGTAAAAACGGATTCTCGCCTCCCTCCCCCCCCCCCAACAGCGTTATTATCCGTGAGTGGCTTTCTCGGAGCTTGATTAACACGTCAAGCGTTATGAATGCCACATGGCGCTCTCACTTTTTCGTTTACAGGTGTCATATAAATGCCGCAATGTTAACCGTGACCGCCCGTTCGATTTACGGAATTTTTAATAGCCGCCGCGCCCGCCGCGTCTTTTATCCCTTAACGGCAGCAGAGTTATACAGAGTAATAACGCATGAGAAGTGCATAATTTTTCGAATAATACCTTTGACGCGTATGCAAAGATACGCAGTGTACTAAATACAACAGTGTAATTTTTTGCGGATGGTTTTGTAAAAATCTCGCAAGAGTGAAGACACTTGAAACGAATGCGGACTCCATAAATTCCACTCAATAATGTCCCATCAAGAAGACACTTAAAAAATAATAAGGTAAGAAAACTTGCGATATTGTTACGTATATAAAGATGACCTCAAGGTATCCTCAAATAGAACAGTTAATCATTTTCAGTATATGTTGATGGCATACGATAAATGCGCTGTAGTAACAGCTAGTGAATACAGTCGTCGCGGAGGGTGAATCGGAAATAAGGGGGGCCGAGTGTCAGTATACGGAGAGGATATATACGAATCTATCTGCAACTAGATACCGGTGTTAGTCGCAGACACACACCAGAGGGAACATCTCGTATTAACCGCCAATCCGCGTCACCCCATCGCGACGTTACGATCATCTCGCGTTGCAATGTTGCAACGAAACGTGTCTCTGGGCGTCGAGGCGTGCGTGTTACAGGCTCGTGAAAATAACGCGCGCGCGACGCTACTCTCTCTCGCTCTCTACCCCTTTTCTCCCTCTTGTCTCTCTCGCTCTCTCTCTTTTTTTGCGCCGTGTACTTCTTTTAGTTTTACTAAGTGGCCATATGGGGACATTCGACATAATGGGGTGGGAGCGGCTCGAGCGAAAAAGCTCGGCTTACAATCGCCTCGACGAGATCTAAAAGAGCCGCAGGGGAGCCAGAACTGGTACGAGAAGGTCCATTATCAGGTTGCAAAACATACATCTGGCCGGTGAGGGCACGTGCCCGGGGCCTTCGGACGAAGGGCACGCCTCCTAAAGCCCCCCTCCCCCTCCCCCGTCCTCTCTTCTCTCTTCATCGCGGCATCGCCGTGCCCTCGTCCTTCTAACCCCACGACGACTTGGGGCCTTCGCGCTCTATGCACTCGATCTATGCGAGCGTTCGCATTCAAACGAGGTGTTAATGCGACTCGTCGAGAACACCGCGGGTGTCCGATCACGGTCTCTAAATAGCAATAGAATAATATGTATACTCATCAGCAAATGTAAATTTATTACACTTAATATTTTATATACGTATACAAATTCTATACAGAAAATATAGATTTGTACAATAGATCGCTATGTATATTTATGTAATAAACAAATACTTATTCAGATACGTTGAAATGATTAATTTTGTCCAATCTGTATTATAATTTACGCGCGCGTTTCATCTTTAATGCATTTAAAATATATTTATAATATACGTAATTTATATAAACTCAATAAATATAAGTACATAATAAATAAATTCCCAAGCTTTATCGTATGGATATGTATAATCGAGATAAAGTAAAGTTAGGAGAAATATGACCCGTTTGAAGTAACACGCTTTTCGGCTAGATAAAAGACCAGTGATGTCCATTTTAAATTGGTTCTACATCCGCTGAAAAATCCACCGCTTATCTCGAAGGTGTTCGCTCGGCGATGACGTATCGCGATGACGAGATGACGGCCTTATTACTTAATCTACCGAGTGTTACGAGACGTCCTGAGCCTGTGTTGGCTTAAGCAAATCGACAGATTTGTCATTCGCGATCTTAACGGCCGTGATCGGACCCCTCTCTCTCTCTCTCTCTCGTTCCTTATTTCTCTCGTTTCTTCCGTTGGAACTCGTCTCTCTATCGAGAACATTGGGTATCGAAGCACTGATAAACCGTCTTTTGAAACGTAGAATAAGTACACTTATGTATCATTTTATCGCTACTCTCGTTCCTGCGTGAAAACAAGGAACTATAATAACACTTGTTACTTATCGCTTCTTTTAAAATCTATGTCAATAGTGAACTAAACACGTTGCTTTTCACGAAAATAATTGTCAGACGGAACTGGTTCTTGGGTATAAATTAAGCAACATATATAAGCACATCGCATGGACAAATTACTGTAGAAAAACTTTCATAATAATAGTTTTCATTATTGCGTGTGTCGTCTAATAATGAATTTTCTTACCTCTGTCGACGATCTTGCCGAAGAGATTTTTCCCTCTAAGAAAATTTTTCGTCGAGCAATTCCATCGCCGGTTGCGAAACTGATGCTGGCATTCGGCGATAGCTTGATTCGCACCCCTTGACACCGCCATCAGCACTCCTGGATTTTCTCTCGCGAGCCTTCTCTGCTTTCTTCTCAGGGTCGTGTAGACCGGTTCCATCTGTATGGAACCTGCTGACATCGGTAAATAATTGTTGGGTTCGCCCGCTTTTGCAATACCCCTAAAAATAAAAACAAAAAAATGACGTTTATTACTTCTTTTATACTCTTCGCGTTTTATATAAAGTAAAACTCGTAACAAAGCACTTAGAACAGCGGGTAACAAAAATAGATGTAACATACAATAAAAATGATGAAAGAAAATTGTACTCCAAAAACATACAGAGATAAAAGAGGAGAAAACGAAGCATATATACGGAAGGATTTGTCGAGAGAGCCATCCTTTATAATTTGTCAGAAAGAAGCCGTCGAAAGTGGCTTTGAGTGCGACTATTTGTAGTCGCCCATTCATCTCGGACAATTCCTTGGAGTTTCGTCGAAGGAAAAAGTAGGCTCGGCTGACGCCGAAGGAAGGAGGCTTCGACGGCAGACGGCGGAGCGTTAAGGACGTGTTTTCAAACAGGGATCGTGTTAATGAAGAGCCTTTGAGTAAAATTACTCCCGTGATCCGGCGGCACTCGGTGCTCCCTTCGTCCAGGGCGGGGAGGGGGAGGGGGAGCGTAATCCCCGATCATACATCCTCGACACAAGCGTTAAAGCGTACATCGTATGCGCGCTTTCGTGAAATTATCAATTTATATGCAGCCGCGTTCGGCCGCGCTTAAAGCTAGCCCCGGTCCCCGGCTGAGGAGCTTAATGCAACGCGATCGCCGATAAATTCCCTTAATGAGCCCCTGTGTGTCCGTTCTGGCGAGCGCCGTGCGCGTCGTTATCGTCGCGTATTACACGATCGTCGTAATGTAACGCATACAAGGTATCGGGCTATATCGCGCAAATAAATTTTAATTACGCGGCAATTCCGCGAACGATAATGCGCACCGTCATCCGCCGCGATTGCGTTTGTCCTATCCGATCCACAGGCGCGACAGGTGTGATCGATCTGGGAGGGAAACAACTTCCAATTTTTGCTAAATGGGGCTTTAATTCAACATTCAATGGTCACTTATAAATATATCTTATACATATGTCTTTATATATCTTATATATGGCTCTCTTATATGCATTATATTTCCTTCAATTATTATTTGGAAATATTTATTTCGGTTATATTCAACAGCTTTACACAAGCTTCTCTGATCTCTGCATTTATTTATTTAGAATATTTAATATAAAAAAAATGATTAAATTTTTAGTTTGTAAAAGTGGATGCTTTTTATTTACTTAAAAATTTAAAGTAAATAATAATATCTATTTTAATTGTATTTTTTGAAGACAGTGTGATTCTGTATTTTTAAATTTTCTTGATTTATTGAACAAAGAAAAAGCTCCTTTAAATAATATTAAAATCACATCTTTAAAACGTCGGACTAAACGACTAAACGCATTTGGTCCATCGTAGAAATTACTTGCAAGGCATTTGAATCGATGTGTAACTTATGGGTGCTATAAGCGTGCGAGTTAAACAGTAGTCGTCACCGCGAAACGCCAATTTTGAGCGCAAAAAAGTGCGCGTTCAAGAGAGAACGGGCAGCGCGAGAGAGAACGAGGAGCGATGAAGGTGGATTAGCACGAAAGACGAAACTGGTTCAGCAGTTTCGATCAACAGTAGCTCGTCGCGTGTATATATTGCATGTATAGGGTGTATCGGTGTCTACGGATTTGCTGTAAATTCGTTGATCGAATTTAAGCTGATTTTTCTTTAAGGCAAATGTAATAAAGCTAGTGCTATTACTAGAATGTCTATTTCCGCATTGATATTTCCGCAACTTCTTATTTATGACTGAGATTCAAGTTTTTCTTTTCAAGTAAGACTTCGAAATGGAATAAAACATTTTATAATTATATTCGTAAATTCAAATTGTCTAGTGTTAATTATTTACGCTTTGAAAATTATTAATAACGACAATATATTAATTTTTTAAACTAATTGTTTACGTTTGCGTATTGTAGTTTTAGAGAAAGTACGTCTTCCGATACACCCTGTATGTATATAAATCAAGCTGCCGCGCGAGTCCGGCCTGTGAAAGAATTCGCGTCTCGATCGATCGAGCATCGCGCAGAAAAACGTTTAAATGCGTTCACGGTGCGCCCTTCGTGGGAAGAGGGACGCAAGGACCCCTGAAGAAATGTTGGGCCGCGCAAAATGCATACCGATCAAGTGTGGCAAGAAACGTTGTAACTCGCTCGGACACGAAATAATCAGAAAGTTGATCGGAGTTCGCGAGTTAAGGGTGATTTTAACAAGACAGGTGCATCCGCTTAATATTTGCTTTTTATATTTTCTACAATCGTATCTATATGTTCTCGCTAGAATGATTATTAACATAAATCATTTATAGTACGATTCATGGTCCTTCCTAATCCTCAAGTGAAAGCTAGACTAGCGAGTCTAGACCAAAACAGTACGATCAGCGATATTTAAGGCGATACGCACGTAATGCAATAAAATGTTGATACAACACGAGTGTCATAAGCACTCCCCATGGGGGAGAACTCCGCGGCTTAAACAGGATCGTAAACGTCCAATTTGATCGCGTGAAAAAGCACCAAACGCGTCGGATATTTGTTGTTCTTTAACGAGAGAGTGAGAGACGCTAGTGCGACCCTTATTTAAAATAGCTCGCGCGTTCTAGGATCGGATCAGTCGTCGCCCAGCATAATAAACAGGTAATCACTGTCGCCGCGGCTCTGTCGACGCTTCGTGGTCTGGGGCGGAAATTGAGGCCCTGACAGAAACCGGGCTTGCCCGTGGCGCCCACCGTGAAACTGACTGTCAGCCACCCGCCACCGAGATCTCTCTCGTTGACACTACGAGTGGGCTAAACAAACTCGAGTTAGAGCGCGAGGTGGCAAACACGTGGCCTAATAAAAGAAGAGGCAGAATTGTTCCTCGATATTGAATTAGGCTGCAGTCCATTTAATGCTATAAGCGTTCTTCTTCTCTTTCTTTCTTCATTGAAAGAAAGGCTTCGAGGCATTTTCTAGTGTTAAGTGGACCGCAGCTTTAGAAAATAATGCTTTTTGGCCGGTTTATATATTTAAATTAAAATTTAAAGCGACGCAAGTGTACCGCGATAATAACAGACGTGAAATAATGGTCCACTTGAGTTCCGTGCGGTGAATGAAAAGGATATGTCACTTGGTATAGACAAATCGGAATGCGAGGTAGCAAACACGTGGCTCAGAAAAGGAAGATGGAGAACGTAACGTCCCGGAAGAACGCTTTCTCGCGTCACTTTAGGGCAAGAGACGTAAAAATGAAAACACGGTTTGCCACGCGAGAATCTTTCTAACGCTTTAAACGGAAGCGTAAACGTAACGTTAAAATGCGAGACGGTGCTCGATTAAACAAGATTATGCTATGTACTTTATTGCGCGTATTGCACGAATAAAAGAGAGATAGAGAGAGAGAGTAATAAACATGGGATTCAACGGCGCGACGTGCTCTCTCGGCGAACATCGCGGGCCCCGTGTAACGTCCGGAATGCACGCGGAACCCACATGGCGGGCCCTTCGATTCGTCACGCGCGATCCGCGAGCTCGCACGGCCCGGCCGACGCGACGTAATGCGCTCCACGCAGCATCGGCGGCGGTGAACACGATGCGCTCTCGCATACGGTGCATTCAATAAGCGATGTCCATAAATAAGCCGCGCCGCGCGGACCGGTTAGGATATATCTATTGCTTGTAATTTACGTCGGGCTTGAAAAGCTTCAGGGACTCCTCCACCTTCGTATACTTTCTACCGCCAGACGATGGCCGAGACGAAAATAATTTATCGCCCCCGGGATGAGAGAGAGAGGAGGGGGGGGGGGGGAGTGGGAACGGAAAGGGAAGGGCGAAGGGCAATAACGACCCCCTCAACGTCTCGCGTTCGTAGTGACAATAAAGAGTATATTAAATTCGCGCCGTTATCACAAAGTATGTACGATACATCGCACGTGTCTTCTTCAAAATTACGTTAGATCTGTATTAGAAGTTTTATTCGTAATGACAGAAAAATTAGTTAAACTGCGGTTAATTAGCGTTAACTAATATTTATTGGAATAGCTTTAGATTCACGTTTTGATTTGAACGCTAAAAATCTTATTCTTTGCTGTAGTTACACTGTCGATATTATCGAGGATCGACCAGTCAAATAATCTCATCAAATGACAAGACCGTTGTTTATTTTCTATCAATTGTGATGTAATTTATGGGGTCACATTGTTTATCTTAGAAGAGCTCACGCTCACGACGATGACGCTATTTCAGTCTTAACCTTCGCACGTGTACCTCGCAACTTTTTTAAACGAACAAACGCAGTTGCGCATTCAGAACTAAATTTAACTCAGTGATAAGCGCTTTGATTCAAAAGATGAAAACGTTTATTTATATGACATTTTAACGCATAGATAGACTTTTAATTAACGTATATAAATGTATAGTGATAGATAATTAATTGTAAATTGTTTCATTAATACTTCATATCGAAGCAAATGCTCAATGTGTCCTAGACCAATGACGTTTTTGTCTGATCCAATGTCCGGCTCTAAGTGAGCGCCTTTCCCCAAGTGTGCATCGGCGTTCCTTTCGAGCCGCGTCGGAGCGATCCCGACGTATGTCATTTCTAACGTGAGCCGGTCCATATTCAGAACGACAGCGTCGTGAATCAGGTCGAGATATCATGAATCACGACGTAGAGACGTCGCGTTTCCGATCGCGGAGCCCCGACGATGTCTTTTTCATTCGGTCGACCGACTTCTCGTCTTTCTCATCGTAGGAGAGCCACGGCTGCTGTCACGGCCGCGTACGCCTCGCTCCTGATTCCCCGTCCCTGAGCCCCGCGTTCGCGTCGATAAATCGACCACACTTGAGATTACCGGTTTGCGATGAAAGCGATAGATATAATATTGTATTACGGCCATTAGGATTGCGATCGCGCGCAGCAAGATGTTCGTTTGAAATACGAAACGTGAATGATTAACGACGAAGCCTTTAGCATCCTATTTGTAGGACACTACGTCACATGTCATCTTCATTAAGAAAAATGTTTTGTCCCAATAATATACTATATACACAGATGCATTCTGATCATCACCAAACAGAAATCTAGTTATCGTAATTAAATTTCTAGCTGTTTCAATATTTTATAGAATATTTGATA